CTTTTTGTTTTTTGTTGTAGTTCACTTATTATTTAGTAGCGGCAATGATGAGTAGTCGTAGATCCACCCGCTCCAATCCCGGTGAATTGGTTGGCCAGGAAACAGATCCAAATACAAAGGACAGCGAAAAGAAGCGGCCGGTCCGCCATTGCCGAGCTCAGACTTTACACGCACCTTTTCAGACACCATGAATTGGTGGTGTTTTTGCAAATGGCTGTTCACGTACCAACATTTGTGGCTCACCTCTTCCACATTCAAATACGGAATCGCGTTTATGTGCGCGGAAAATCTGTACGCGGCCTTTTCGCTGATCAGCACCGCGGCACGATTCGACGAGACGTCGATCGCAACGTGGATCAAGGCTTACCAGAACTGGGGACCGTCGATTTTGCGCCAACTGCGAATGATAAAGAGTAAGTAAACCATCATTTTATTTTTTCGCTATAGTTCAATAAAAAATGAAAATATACGCGTTCTAACGTTACAATCGCGACTATCGAATCTTCGCACTTTCGTTCTTTGCAACTCAAAATCGGTACTGATCCGAAAACTAAAAGATTCCACATTAATGATTCAATGAAATAATAGTCGTCACAAGTTGCGTGTACTGTTGTGATTCCGAAAAAAAACTTTACGATATTTTCACTCTTTTTAAACTAATCCGAATTAAAATCATTGTTAAATACTAAACGTTCCAATTTGCAACATTAAAAAATACACGTTACAACATTAAATAAATACGCTGCACTCGAAGTGCTGCAGCAAAAATTACAAGTTTAAACACAGAAAAAATATCGGATNGCCCCCCCCCCCCCCCTCCCCCCGTTTCCGCCAAAAATTCGTATACTGACATATACATATACGCAATATGTATAAAAATATAGATATTTTTTATATTCTAGTTGGCGTAATGGGGGGGGGGAGGTCTACATTTAATAATATTTGTTGCTATTACCCTATTTGTAATTATGTATGTTCTAACTTGTAATTTCTCGTTTACAGATGCGGTCGGTTCTGACAATTTCGAGGTTCTTCAATTTCACTTGTGGCCACCGGCGATGTATCCTGGTATGTGTCGCTTCACTACCGGCATGATGGATGTCATCGTTGCTGCCAGGCAACCTGTGACCTCCGCCAATTCATTTTGCTACAAATTTGTCCAGTCTCTCAAAGATGACCCAGTTATCACAGTTGCGGGATTCGATAGCAACCAAGTGCATGCCGTTGTATTTAAATCGGATTTCACGACCCAGCAGAGAAAAAAGTTCTTCAAAATGTGGTTTGAAAACTCAAGTAACAAACCGATTTTTGTAAATGGCGAGGAAAATTTGGGATGTTTGTTTCCCCAACCACAGATTCCCGGGCTTTGAGGTGCGGCTGGAGAAGAATATGAGGGCAAATTACGGTATAACGAATTTTACCAAGAAGACCGTGAAAATTTCCAGCTATTTGCATAACACTTTGGGTTCGGAAGCGATGGATGCCACAATTGTACATGAATTTATTCATGTGTACTTGTGGTGCATAAGACCGTGAGCTGAGCTCTATCTTATGCAGAGAAATCACCTACTTTGACTGCGTGTGCGACTCCGTGAGCCGACGCCATCTAGTGGTGGCGTTCTCAAACATAATTCAATTTTCCCTAAATAAATTATTTTCTTCAATTCAAGTGTTTATTTAATACAGAAATTTAATTGTATTTAAATATGGAGATAAAATTAATTTTAGTGATGAAATAGATTTATGTGTTACTAATAAATTAGAGATTGCTGAATTTTTAAATTTAATTAAAATATAATAATTCATGAAATCTTAAACTCAAATCACAAAATCATTTCTTCAATTTAAAACTTAAATTAATAAACTTAAATTAATCTTTTCTTCAATTTAAAACTTGACTTAATTCAATTCAATTTGAAACTTAAATTGAAGAAAAGATTTCATGATTTGAATTTAAGATTTTTATGAATTATTAAATATTTTCATTCTTACACAGAAATTAAATATCGTCACCATTCGCAAAAATAAAAGAAAAAAATTGAAAGAAAAGCAAAAACATTTCTGCAGGTATTCTCTTTATGTTTCTTTCCACTTTGAACACCGTTGCGAACAGTTCTTAAATTCTCCCATCCTCATAATTCAGAAAATCTTCGAAGATCTACAAGTGACAAGGTAAAAATTATTCTGTAAATCGAAGCGTAAGGGTTCTGATCCGATCGTATAATCTTGCACTACTATTTTATAGCAAATTTTTCACCACTAGATGGCGAGTTCCTTTATCTGGAAATCTGCAAGTGGTAGATTAAAAATAGCTGCTTAAATATAAGTATTTATGAATACAAATACAAATTGATATTACTCATATTTTCACCAATACAATCTTTTTCAATCAACATAATCATATTAATATAATCATACAATAATATCAATATTGGCCAATCAATACAGAAAACTTGGAGCATTATAAGACCATAAATAATGTAAAAAAACGTTACAACTTTGGTCAATACATGTTTAATGCTCCGAAAACTAGCCGCAAAGGACCACAAATTCGAGCTTTTAATTTTTGTCCCTCTTTTTTTTGTCCGTCGATGATCGGATTACGGCACGCGCGCGAGTACGCGTTAATTATCATTATAATGCCCCGGTCGAGCTTTGCGCGTGGATGGAAAATTAGAAATTCCACGCTTGTAATTAGTCGATACAACCCCTCATTTATATATCGTTATGTTGTATCGTATACATCAGAATCGAACGAAAAACAACGTCCCGCGCCGTATGTGCGTACAACAACAAAATCCGTTATAATAATTGGCGCGCACAAAAGCAATCGGGCTCTTCTCGATTGAAATTGTTAATTAATCAACTAATCGCGAATATTTATAGAAAAGCCGGGCGTAATATGTCGACGTATGGGCGCGTCGACAGCTCGTGTTCGATCGTTACTCGTATATATTTTCCAAATGACGCGCGTGGCTCGATAATTACAATCATCGCGTCTTCGTTAAAAGCCAAGACTCGTGCCGTCGACTACTGTTGTCTGCAGTCGACGCGTGTATTATGAACGAAAACAAAAATACATATTTCATCACTTTTTCGACGCGCGCGTGCGCTCGAAATTTCGCAAACTATTATATCGTGCACGCGATGATAACGTCGTCGAGTATTATTAAAGCGCAGAGAGAGAGAGAGAATTAAGAGCTTCGCTTTGTACATGTATGTCATATTCCCTGACAGAAGCAGCAGAAGCAGCAGCTCGACGCTCAAGCCACAGAGCTCGGCGGCAGCAAACATTCATAGCCGCACGCATCATGCTTACTCTTATATATATACGCGGTTCAAGCGTATGCATATATAACGTACATCCACGCACAGGGTCTTCATCGTTCAGTTGATTAAGTCACCGCAACGAATGTATCTCTTTCTCTTCTCTCTCTTCTTGTACAGCCAAGGCGCGCAGTCGAGCGCGAACGATATATCGTTTATAAGGAGTATAATACCACGATGATGCACACCGACGCGCGAAATATGCCGCGTCGTGCTACACCGCGTGTAAACAATCGCCCAATGATAGAACGTAGAGCGTGCGAAACGACGTAGGAGTGTTTCTCGAAAGAGCCCCGCGCTAGATGAGTCGTGTACGGATCTCCGCGCGCCCTTCGCTTGCAGGTTGAGCTATATAGTACAGTCGACTTTTCGAGTGTATATTATCTTTCGCAAGCTCGCGCGAGCTTGCACGCGGATGACACTTACTTTTTCAACGCTATTGTCAATTACTTATTAAATAATAAGGACGACCTCGAAATCACGAAGCTTTTCGAATCGGCTTCTGATTATGCGATCAGCAGCAGCAGCTGCTGCTGCTTTGACATGTCCCCCAGTACGTCCGAGCGATCTCAATACCCACGCAATACGATCGGCACAATTACACTCGCCGCAATGAATATTCAAAGGCTTCTATACGTGACCGTATAAGGATCGTAATATGCGTAAGCGCGTGTACATACGTAAGCGGGTAGCAGAGTAATCGATCGGTGCGCGCGCGCGCGCGAGGGATACGAGAGGCACTTGTTGCAAATCGTTCGGGACTTTGTGCATACATGTGCGCACGTGTGTTTAGACCCACGATCCACTTGGCCGCAGAAGTCCGCGCTAATTCAGTTTCGGTCTGGCTTTCGAGCTGTGTGATTTGTAAGCTATGGTCCCCCCTCTGTGTGCGCCGATTCGCATTGCGAATGAAAATCTGTGGCGAGGGTGGATAGGTGGAAGCAAATAGAATTTCTTTTTATGATGGAAAAATTTCGAATGATTGATTCTGTGATTATTTTGCGTGGATTTGATGCATAATCGTGTCGTAACGATACACAAAATCATACCCGTACTAGATCGCGTTCAATGCAATTCACTGTAATAATTAATCTTAGATTTTAAGAATTTTTATTGGATGTTTGTACCGAAGTATTCGAGTAGGCATCAGTTTTTAATACATTACTTTGATATTAAGTAAATAACTCGTAAAAACCGACTCTAAAATTAATGAAACGTCCCAATATTAAAATTAAAATAAATTACCAATATGTGAATTTATAAGTGAAAACTTGAATACTATAACATTTAATTACATTGAATGTATTAAATGTAATGGAAAATTCTTGAAAAATACAGAACATTAATGCATTTTAACTTTTTTCAGGTACGCAATAGTTCATAATTTACCGATGGGTGGCTTATGGCCGAATCTTCAAAACCTAAAAGAAAAAATACCAATTTAAGACACTATATTGTGCGATTTATTGGCAAGTCTAATCAAAATTTGCTGCAAACTATTGATATTAAAAAAAAATCAATGTATGTAAATAAAATAAAAACCTACGGTAGATGGAGATAGCTTCGCCAAGGAAATCTAGCAATCATGGGCGTTGAGTCGCTACAGTGATGGCATTGGATTACTGCGGTGAGCAAGTGTTTACAAATAATATCAGTACAGAGAACAAGTGAAATCAAACAAGTATAGTGAGTGTTGGCTGCTCGAGACATTTAACCTCAAATATTTTTTCGATGTATTACGCGAAAATTCAGAGTGAAAATACATAATATAATCAAGCTAGAGATGGAAAACAAAGATGGCACAGTTAGGTATAACTTTTTTTAAATGCCGTGATATTTTTCCAAGAGGCAGCTTCATCCAACTTAATTATTTTTCAGCATGAAAGAAGAACCTCGTGATACTTGGTTAGATGCCGTCGACGATTACATTTCCAATTCAGTGGACTCTTGTCAAGTCAAAAGCTATGAAAAATTCCCATTTCATAAAACACCAGTGAGTTTAATGCTTTGAATTGTATTCTAATTTTTCACTATTAAAAATTATAACGAAATTTTATTTTTATAGAAAAATCATGTGAATGATGATGTTACGTTACAAGAAAGGATGAAGGAAAAAATATTTATTGGTTATGAGTGTAGAGATGTTAAACTTGAATTAAAATTTCCATCGACAACCAACAGTAAATCGGAGTATAGACATTTTCAACCTGCTGTAAAAATAGAAAAAAAATATCAGACTAACGACACAAATGAAAATATATTCATTGAGTGTGAGTGCAAAGATGTTAAACCTGACCTGAAGCCTTCATCGCCTAACATCTGCAAAACTGAACATCCAAGTGGTTCAGCTATTGTGAAGTTTGAAGATCCAATTCAGAAAAGTTCCTGCAACAAAAAAATACTAATAGTTTTGATAAAAAAAGGTTTCAATTATCATGATAATTGTCCATTTCAAATAAATCACCAAAAATTGAAAATCAAAGAATATAAGGAGATAAAAATATTGAAAAGAGTTACTCAAACCAAATTTTCTCATCACCGCCAGCTGTGTCAACAAACTTATAAAGAGAAATGTGAAATTTGTCACAAATCATTCGGAAAAATATATAATCTCAAAATTCACATAAATGCAGTACATAATCGAAGCAAACCCTTTGAATGTGAGATTTGTCACAAATCATTTGGAGAAACGGGTACTCTCAATCGTCACGTGAATGCAGTACATGATCGGAGCAAACCTTTCGAATGTGATATTTGTCATAAATCATTTGGACAAAAAAGTCACCTCAAACGTCACGTGAATGTAGTACATAATCTTGTTAAACTCTTCGAATGTGAAATTTGTGGCAAATCATTTGGAGAAAAAGGTACCCTCAACGTGCACATAAAAACAGTACATAATCGAAGCAAACCCTTTGAATGTGAGATTTGTCAAAAATCATTTGGAGAAACGGGTACTCTCAATCGTCACGTGAATGCAGTACATGATCGGAGCAAACCTTTCGAATGTAAGATTTGTCAAAAATCATGTGGAAGAAAAGAAAGCCTCAATCAACACATCAATGGAGTGCATAAACGCATTAAACCCTTTGAATGTGATATTTGCCATGAATCATTTGGACAAAAAGGTCACCTCAAACGTCACGTGAATGTAGTACATAATTTTATTAAACTCTTCGAATGTGAAATTTGTCACAAATCATTTGGACAAAAAAGTCAACTCAATAGGCACATAATGACAATACATGATCGGAACAAACCCTTTCAATGTGAGATTTGTCATACATCATTTGGACAAAAAAGTGACCTCAAGTGTCACATGAATGCAGTACATGATCGGAGCAAACGTTTCGAATGTGAGATTTGTCAAAAATCATTTGGAAAAAAAGGAAACCTCAATCAACACATCAATGGAGTGCATAATCGCATTAAACGATAAATTTGATCCATATGAAAACTTTCTACCTCTACATGTATATGCTTTGTAATTGAAAAAATCTTTCACATGAAAAACTTTAATTTTGTTAAAAACATTATAATATTTCAAACCGTTATTCACTTTGTCTTATCTGTCATCATACATAAAGTCAAATATTAACAATATTTATTTTTACTTCGTCCTTTAATGTTGAATCGACCTTTCATTATTCCAATTATTATTTGAAAATTTGCTTAAGTACCAACTCTTTATTTAATTAGAATGCCATCATTATATGGTATTCATCAACATCACCCGACAACCGCCAAAACTGATTTACAGAAGATTGAATAACTTCAGATCTACATTTTTTAGAGAATAACTTGAAGGTTATGTTTTAATTAAATCATTCTAAGCTACACAAATTAGATAATACAATTTAGTATATGTAACATTAAGAAATAACTGCAAAAATAATTTAAAAAATTACTTCTACTTTAAGAAAAACCAAAAAAATGAAAAATCAAAACTAGAAAAAAGCCGCTCATTGGCAAAGAGATTCCTCAAAAAATATTCATATTCTCATTTTTATGTATTATATAGTAAATTATTACTTTACATTATTAATCTCCTTTACACGTTATTAGCTGGAGCAACAAACTAAAAATGGACAAAAGTACATAAGGGCTTTTTTGGGTATTCACATAGCATCCTGCATAAAGAAGCAATAATGGAACAAAAGAAGCATAATTGAGCCTCATAAATTTTCACTCGATCAACGAGCGAGAAGAAACTTTTGCCCTTTACTGCGAAAATGACAACGACAAACAAGAAAAAGAAAGGAGAAAAATTCATCGATACAGCCAGCGCATGAAATTGCCTTAAAAAGCAGCGTGTTTCGATTAACTGCTCCGTGTGCACACACGGTCCTATGCACGATATATACTCAATTTCGCGAAAGCTCGATGTATGGCACAGTTGTGTAGCGCGCGATACGTATACGTATAATAGCGCGCGGTAGAGAGCAGTTAAACTGCATTACAAGTAAAAGGAAAATGGTTATTCTAGCGGCATCGTTCGTTGCAGATCGGCGCGCGCGCGCCGCATCATAAATTCAATTTCACTTAGGAAATGAACAAAGGAACTTATAAATTTGTGAGTTTGTGCCACGCGCGCGAGGAGAGCATGTGTACACGCACACACATACACACACGAAAAGCGTTGAGCTTTGCCAGTGTTGCGCAGCTCTCGCACACACACACACGTTGTTTGTAATATTCTCTCGCGCAGTTTTAAATAATACTGACACGCGTACGGTAAGTATTAACACGCTCACGCCCGGCGCACACATTGTTTCGCAGCGATATAATACACGGACAAAAGTTGTGTGCGCAAGAAGCGGCGCGCGCATAAATTATTCTTTCGGCTCTTGTCAATTTTTAATTGCATTTTTGATTAATGGCTATACGCCGCGCGTGTATCATGTTGTTCGTTCAATTTTATAAGTGGCTGGAGCCCCGCGCTTATTTCAGCCGTGTGTAAAAGCTGCTGCTCGCGCGCGCGCGCATCAATTAACTCCGGAAAACTACGAAAAAACTCCATTAAAGTATTTTATATAGTTTTTGTTGGACTTTTTCAATCGCTCGCGCTGGAGGAGCTTTTTATATATAAGCCAAAAAAAAAACAACGAAAAAGAAAAAAATGGGTGAGAGAGAAAGTTGGAAGAGGTAAGGATAAACTCTTCCGAGCAGTTTTCGCATTATTAATAACCGCGCCTCTTTGCCCCCCCGTATATACGCTACTATATACGCATTCATAAAGATAAGTGTATTTTCGCTGGGGCGGCTTTTGAAAAATTCAAATTATCTTAAGATTTTCATCCCCCGAGCGGATAAATAATTAATTTCGTTCAAAAAATCCGTTTTCCGTATTTTATATATTATTATATATGTATATCGCGCGAGGTAAAAAGTGTACATCCTTTCGAGCTCTTATATATTCCGGGCGCTACGCTCGCTCGCGCGCGGGGGCTCTATCAAAAAATAATAATTTTCCTCCTCCATCTCTCTTTCGCAGAGCGAGAGCGACTTGTTTTCCATTTCCGCTTTATCTAAAGAACGACATTCTTAAAAATGCAGTGCATCGCGTTGCGTTAGCTCTTATATAGCGCGGGGGGGAAAGGGAAGAAGCGAAATCGCGAAAAACGAATTTACGAGCTAAAGGCGGTACACACGCAGTGTGCAGCGCGGAGCTTTTGCGCGCGCGAGCTTTTTTCCTCTTACTCTCGCTCAACTATCACAATTTTTCTATATATATACGCGAGCGATGCAGTGCCGCTGCTCTATTTTCACTCGTTATATATGTATGTACATGTGTCAGCGTGTGATTTATCGACGCTTTTTTCTTTTACTCTCGTTCTCTCTCTCTCTCACTCTCTTTTCTCCGAGTGATTTCTTAAGAAGTCGATAAGTATTTTTCCTGTGAACTGCGAGTTACTATATATTATTATTATTATTTTTTTTTTTTTGTTGAAAAACTCACCCTCTTTTCCTCCGGCACTCGCTCACTCGCGTGCACGTATATAGAAATGTTTTAATAGAATATACGCGCGCGTGAATGCAAATGAGTCGTGAAACGAACGAATACGTACCAATATTAAATCGACTCTCTGCATATATTTACGAGCAAATATATACTAGATCGGCCGAATCTATACTCTCGATTACAGCACAACAACGGGTTTACACTCGATCTAAAATTTTTGATCGAACTCGAACTGCAAACAATCGATATAGCATTTATATGTATGCCGAAACACACGTGTGTTTCTTCTCGTGCTGCGAGTTGTGCAGCTCGACGCGCATACTCGATGCGCTATAAATATAATTAATAATTAATTATACACATCAACGTTACACGCGTATATCTCGTATAACCAGCTTAGAGCGGTGCAGAGCTGCTAGCTGGTGCGTGCAATAAACTTAGCTGCTGTGGCGCGTAACATTGTAGTACTACAACACATGTATATAAACTAAATGCTCGTCGCTGCATCCGTGGAAATCCTGTATCAAATCGATGATGTCTCTGCCGCTGCCGCTGCTGCTGTGGGATTTGTTGTGCGTTGCGTCGACGCGAGGCATTATTATTCAGCGATCGTTTTAAATTGTTCGCGTTCGCTGCTACTGCTTGTATGCGTGTACACACAACAACCCCCGGCGTATAATATATAATATAGCAGTAGCAATGTATGTACGCGCACGCATTGAATTTAATTTATTTATTACACAATTTCAAAACGAATAGCGAACGATTGGCAATAAAGCACGAGCCACGACTGCGATCCGCGCGCCCGATTGAATTGTGTACAACACAGAGAGGGATTATTTACGGTGCTCGAGGGTGATAATATTCATCCGCGTCTCTTTGTATGATGTATTATGTGCGGAAGGTTGATACGAGATTCATGGATAAAAAACAATACACTGTACGGAGCTAATGTAGAGAGCAGCGTTTTAGAGCGATATTAATCATTAAATGATTCGTTTGATTTGAATCGTATTGCGAGGACGATCGGTGGATTCGCGTTATTAGTCCGATTGTAATATGCATTGCATTCGTCGAAATCTTTGCCGTTTCATTTGCGTGCGTGTGAGTGCGAATTTTGTAGAATGACTTTTCGATACGATTTCAATAAACATGCGTTTATATAACAACGGGGAATACAGCCCGCGCTAAGAAGCTTGATATAAGCAGCTTACGAATTTTGCTTTTAATTGCTCCCGAATGTATCAGAATAGCAAATTGCTAATGCTCCTCGAGTTCTAGGGTGAGATAGATATTATGATGTTAACGTGTAGGGTTTTTTAACGCGTTATATCCCTGGTAGAAAAGCTCAACGTTAACAACGGCCTATTGACCATTGAATGACCTTATACCGATATTAAACGCCTATTAAATAACCAGAAAATGACATTCGGATTGTATGAAAAAATAAAAACTAGTCTTCAACCACTATAATACCACTTGAAGCATCAACTGCTTCATAGCGAATAACTTTATCTGTAAAACCCAAGGCGGGACGGCCAAAAACAGCTGTAGCGATTTTTTGAATGATTTGAACATTTTTATCATTTTTTATTAGTATATTACACAACAAGGGAGTAAAAGTAAGGAATTCGGTTTCGTCTCGGGTGACAATTACATATAATCTGAGACATTCCCTCCTTTCTCCCGTGTTAATAATCTATATTGACTCGATATTACAGGGATTTTTAGGAGTCCGAAAAAATTCTTCGAAAAAATCGTCATTAAATTCGATTTTAAAATTGGTTCAAATATTGCACGGATAATGTATGAGCAGATAAATCGGTAATTTAATTGTAAACAATGTAATCATAGACGACTATAACATCGTCCCTCGACATCAGATCATATTTACAGTAAAAACAAATTAGTTTGAATGTTAACTTTTCCCATGAAACAAGCCATAATAACAAATAATAAATTTTACTCAGTTAATTTTTGTAGCACTAAACAGTAAAATCTATCGTTTAATTTAAGCACTACAATGGATAAAAGTGAGAAAAAATCCGAGGAAGTTATATCGTTAAATAATTTAAGTGAAAATGAAATTGCTGTTTCGGGCAACAAAAAATACGTTTGTGATATTTGTCAAGGGGCATTTTCACTAAAATCGAGCATGATGACACACCGAGACACATTTCACAATGATGGAAAAAATTACGCATGTGACACGTGCGAAAAAAAATTTGAATTCCGAAGTCATTTGAGCAGACACCAAATATCCGAACACAAAGGCCGCAAAGAGTTTACATGTGACAATTGCGAAAAGAAATTTGCTAAACAATCAAGTTTATTTACGCATCAAAAATTGGTGCACAAAAGTCACG